AGAGAGAGAGAGAGAGAGAGAGAGAGAGAGAGATAAAGAGAAAGTAAGAAATGGCGGAAGCAAATGTCCGCTATCTTCTGGAACAAAATGACGTAACCTAACGTATGACTTTTGCGTCTGATGGAACCGCGATCATTTGTGGGATCGTTCGCCAAAACGAAGGCGTAACCATGCCGCTACGAAACGCTAGAAGGCACGATCGAACTTTCTTCACGATCGGCTTTCGTGAAAGCTCTCTCTCTTGCCGGGTGAATTGGCATCGAGTGCCATGTTACACGCTGTTGCCTAGAACGTTCGAGCGGCGCATGCGATTTATTTGACTTGGACTTCGTACGTATGTTTCAAATACGAATCGTGGTCTGGTTCCACGGCGGGAATGATTTTTATTTCACTTTATTGCTATTTATTATTAAGGCGTTCGCGGGTTAACGATGATATACGATCGCACGTTGAAGAAATTAAACTTTTTGCTGGCGATCGAGAACATTGTCGACTAATATTTCGAGTGTGAGAAAAAAATTTGATATAATATTTTCTTTGTAATTAACATTATTAATAGTAAGTCACGTTAACGATGAGTTACAAATTATTCTTTGTTCTTTTATTTTAGAAGAGAAATATCCATCGAAATATTCACTCATGTTATTTCGAATATTTTTAGTGTTTTATTTTGGTTGTAATTTTTCACGTGTCCTTTTTTTTTTTTTTTTATCGACAATTGACGTTTGCACTATTGTGATAAGCGAAAAAATCATACAATCAATAACTCGAAAATAATTATACGATTATGAATGTTGAATGTGTCATCGTTAATGACTGTTTATTTAGCAAACAATTATAATTACGATTCTCAAAATTTATCTCGTATTATTTTAATATTGATATTATATAATTACTCACAAATATCAATGACGCCGCGTGTTATACTTAAAGACAGTAAAATATCTTTTTTTTTTTGGGAATGGAACACGAATATTATTGCATTTCACGCATTGTTCATGATTATTCTTCGCGTATTTTGTCATTTTTAATTCTTAAATAATTCTTAATCGATTTTATAATAAATAAAAATGTGAGGGGGAGGGGAGAGATAAGATATTAAATAAAACAAACTCTCTTTTTTAATAAAATGAAGTCTCATATGTCAATAATATCTTCGTAATAAGGGCAAAATCATAAAACAAGAAAAAAAATATTGATTTAAAAAAGATTTATTAAATAAAACATCATCGATATCGTAAATATCGATAAATCGTCCGTATAAAATCGATTCAATCGATTCTTTGCATTTTCTTATCATTTTCTATGTTTCAAAAAAAAAAAAAACAAACAAATAAAATAAGATAAACTAGATAAACACGAGATCTTTTCTTATTAGAAAAAAAGAGATACGTTACAGAAACTTTGGCAGTGTGTCAAGATGAAACGTGAAGATTGACTAATCTCTGATGACGATAAGAGATGACGATCC